TTATTTTGTTAGTGTGTGACATTAAGGCTATTGTAACATAGCTTGCATATCCAGCTTCCTCTCTTTTCTTTGGTAATGGTATGGAGATTGATCTCTTCCAGTCATTTCATGGTTTGCCAAATTTGCTGCCATAATTTGCTTAGAACTTTACTGATTCTTCTTATAGCTTACCTTATTTCTATAGGTATTCTGTTAATTCCTGTAACCTTCTGACTCAAGTAGAGACTAGTTAAAGGGCCGATCTAACTTTATCTTTTAACATAGTACTAGAGCTACTTGTAAGTAGAGAACATCTTCTAAGTATCATGGATATTGACATCTCTGCTGTATGGAGTTTCAATGTATTCCTTTCATCTTCGTTTGATCTTCTTGGAATTAGTTACTATATGCCCACTGGCATCCCTTAGCATACCAATAGGGAGGCTGAAACCACCTTCTGACTTCAGAGGAATCTTGGAAGACCTTCCTTCTTTTTTCCATGTCTGCCTTTCTCTTCAGTATCTTTTCAGATGTTGTTGTAATACTGCTTTTTGTCTTTCCTAACAGCTTTCTGAAATTCTTCTGTTAAGTTCCTTCCCGACATCTTGACTTTGGCTTCCTTGCTGCCTAATATGAACACCTCTTTGCTTTAGTTGGGCATCTGGGATAACCTTCATGCCTTGGTTGACCCTGCTGGGAGCACATACATAGCATACACTCCCAGAATTCAATACTCATCCTACCAAGCAACACATAAATCCTGGCCATGATGAGACACCACAGCAGGACTTGGTGGAGAGGGAGGGATGTGTTTCAGTAAAGAATGTGTATAGTATGTACGAATTAAATAGGGACACAGGTAGTCCTCAACTTATGAGTCATTTAACCATTGACCCTTGGAAGATGGCCCTCGGAAGGGATGGTTTATAGCTTGCAAAGTATTACTGACCATTGCAAAATGTTATACTCTCCCTTCCCTCAGTTACAAGATTATATTTTGGGTGCTCATCTACCAGCTCATGTTTACGACTAACTACAGCATCCTGGAGTCGCATGACCATTGTTTTGTGGTGGGATGTTTTTTTTTTTACTGGTTTCTGACAAAAAAAACCCACCCATTTATAAGAATGGATTCAGACTAACAACCACAGGTTTCATTTAATGACCCCTAGAAAAACCATCAAAAACTATGGTCCAGTCATTTGGGTGCCTCAACTTAAGACTTTCATGACTTACAATTGAAATTTACTCCTAGCTACGGCTGTAAATCGAAGACCATCTATATATAAAATAAAGGAGAGAGAAAGAGAGTCCATTTTCCAAGATTAGCAGCAACATTTTGAAGGAATCTGAAGAGGGAAGATGCTACTACAATGTGTTGTCCCTTAGGAAGGGAAATTTAAATCCTTCTTCTTTTCCCTCTCTTGAATACTCATGGACATCTTCTGCCTTCTGACAAGTTGAATAAGATGTGCCCACTAATCGTAAGGGATCGGCGCCATGTTTAAGGCATATTCTTAAATGGAACGGAGCATGAAATTTCACATAATGCTGCTTGGGAGAAACAAATTTATAAATTTTCAAAGATTGGGAGGTTGTGTTTGGCACTTAAAAAGACTAGTTCCTTTCTTGTACCATTAAAATTCTACTATTAATTATTTCATTACTTTCTGATAACCCAGCATTGCCCAGGTATTTTTTTATAGGGGGAAATGCTGCAACATACACACCCACAGCCGTTTTTATATAGATAGATTTCAGCCCAATTTTGCAAGGGCATGGTGGGGGAAGTTGGGAGCTTTGTTTTGCCCTAGATCACCAGTAGCTGAGGTGGGATTGGAACCAGAATGTAGTGGAGGTGCAGTTACATTGCTTTTGTTTGTGCAGAGGTGTGCAAGGAAGCCAGCTCCGTTATCCCAATGGTTATTGGACCACTTGAAAAATAAGAGCCTATGTATAGACAACATATCTGGAAGAAACTAAACTCTCTGTATGTATGTCAGAGAGAAAATACTATGTTTCAAGGAGCAAACTAGATTTGGGAATGTATGGCAGATTGAATTTCATGGGATGGGATATAAAGGGGTCAACTGTGTCCAGAGCAGAGCTTCTTCTAAGCTAGGGAAGCAGATGTACAAGTCATGATATATTCTCTGCAGCCATTGGTTTGACATTGGCGAGGGGTGTTGGAGACAGCAACCCTTGGCTGATGAGGGTGGCAGCTAATTGTTTTATATACTTTTTTGCATGTTTAAGCTCTCCAGAGGAGAAAAAATAAGGCTACCTGTTTTAACTCAACCAAAAATTTAATTGTTGTATAAAGTGCGCATTTTTAATAAAAATATTAAATTTTCAAAGCGCTGAACTGCCAACCTTCTGATCGACAAGCTCAGCATCTTAGCCACTGAGCCACTGCGTCCCTTTTCTCTGCTTATCCGTTTGTAAAAACCTATCCCGCTAAAGTGTTGTCTTTGACAGTGAGCAGAAGACTAAGTCCCCCATGCCAGTGTGCACAACAGCCTCTGCACTCAAGCCACAGCTTAGAGGGAACATTGCTGCAAAGATAAAACCCAATGAGGTTGCTTTGTAAAACAAGTCAGTATAGGAATTATAAGGTCATAAGGGAATGTACAGGTTAGGCAGATAGGGAGAGAGAAGTAGGCATGACGGGGAGAGGGACCCTGGGATGAAGGAGGCCTGCTGCATGTTCTTTTGAGGTTGTAAAGATCTCAGATCTGAATGCTCATTGACAAAGGCTGGTTGTTGCAAGAGAAGAAATCCTACAGCTTCAAAGGAATCCTCTTGATTCTCACTATCCCTTTGCTTAGCCTGTGGTGATGAGCTGTAGAAACACCAGCCTGGACATACATGGAGCCCTCCAGATTTGACTTGACCACTTCATAGTGTCCAGAAAGGGACTTTCCTAGCTAATGCCTAAGTTCCCATCTCCATCCCAGCTGTGGGGAGTGTCCTTGGCCAGTGCTGTGTAAACCACATCCCCATACTCATCACTGAGGCATCCCAATGGGATTAGCTAGGGAGCGTGGGCTGGCTTAAAGTGAGAACTTCCTGCTTCTTAGTTGGATGCTTCATCAAACACTCACCCACGTCAAATACCTAGGGATCATGACTAAAAATTCAGGCCTATTGCCCATAGATAGTACAGGGCTTTATTAGCAGCCTCTCATATAATCACAAGGATAGTGTTCCCCCCCTTTTTTTAGCAGGGTCACACATTTTTAACAACAGTGTGAAAAGTAGAAATTTGGGGTTGTGCCCAACTTGTAAAGAACATTGTTTGTTGTGTTGATGCTGAAGCCATACCATGTTTTCCCGAAAATAAGACAGGATCTTATTTTCTTTTTACCCCCAAAGTAAGCACTTGGCCTTATTTTCTGGGAGGTCTTAATATTTTTGAGGTGCAGGAGGCAGTGAGCATAGTCACCTCATGGCAGTTGCTATGTTGCAATATTTTTGGGGGGGGGAGGGCTTATTTTAGCGCATGCACTCAAAAGTCTGATTGGGCTTATTGTCCTGGGGAGGTCTTATTTTCAGGGAAACAGGGTAGAAACGATATCAAACTTAAGACATACCCATTCACACTTAATGCATATTTTGGTACTTGTGGGTCTGGACAGTATTTAACCTACTAAGGCACATTCGAAGTGAAGCAAACATAGAAGAATTGGGAAAGGTTTCCCCTCCAATTGTTGTTATATTGTACACAGCAGATATAACAGTGATCAATTGGTACTGGAGTCCCTGATGACATCTGCAAATTATGGATATTTCTTAGTTTGTGTTTGTTCTGACAATCACAAATTGGGGGAAAAACCCTTTCATAAGCAGTCTACTTGCATGAGTAAAGTAATACAGGTGTATATCACATCACCTGCACTTTTCCATGAACTGTATTCACTTCCCCGAAGGTACTAGCCAATCTCACATGAGTTCAGCGTTCCCACATTACGTTATTCCTGGAAGAATGCATTTCTTTGCACAGCAATAGTGTTGCAACCTCCACCTCGGTCTTTCAGAACTAATTGTCAGGTGTCTCTTTAATATGTCCAAAGGATTGCTATATTGGGGAAGTGCGTTAGGATGCTTAAGCGATTGAAACAATAACTCTGGAATCAGGCAAAGGAAGAAGACTTTTTGTCTTTAAGTGAAGAGTTTCAGTGATTCAAAACATTGAAGGATGGGATCCCCTCCCACTACTCCATTTTTCTGAGACATGTACGTGACGTCGAATTCCTATATCACGGCTTTGTGGGGGTTTTTTTGCATTTATGTTTATGCTGCACTTGTAATTTTTGAATATATCCTGTGGAGAACGTGGTTCCCTCTAATTCATTTTCCCATGATTATTATTCCCCCCCCCCCCATTCTGGAATGGCAGTGGAAGAACTTGTACATGGATTGTTCTCATTAGCTCGCCCTCCAGGACTCAGGCATTTGTGTTGAAACGCCTGGTGTTGAGTTGAAGTGTGATTGCTGACAAGGTTGCAGGCGGGTATTCCAATGGATTCTTTGCTTCTTGCTCACATTTTAGTCTCGGTGTACATGTGTACAATCACTTGTTTTCTGATAAGTATGTATAATGTACAGACAGCTATTGGTAGAAAACAACACACCTATCCTTTGCTTTAACGATGTAGCATACTTGGAAGATTTAGCCAGCTTGAGACTCCAAGAGGTCTTCGGTGGGCACTAACATTAATGCCAACTCTTTCCCCAAAGCCAACAGCAACTGGATAATATTGTGCTGCCAGATTGAGTGGCAAACTGTTTATGCTTCTAGAGACTCTGTGTCAGGGCATGTGGGAGGGCTATGCTTCTGCTGAGCATATTTCCCCCCCCCCTCTCCTGCAAACCCAGTGCCTGAAACGAACAGAGTTTTTGATCAATTGAAATCAGCTACTTCTCAGCAAAAGTATCGAGCGTGCACAATTATGGGGAGGTTGCTGAGCATCATCTGTCCATCTGTACCCTGACACGGTCTTTCCTTCTTTGTGCACCAGCAGGAAGTGGGTTGATGGGAAACTCACCTGCCTCATCCTTTATGGGCAGCTTCCTAAGCAGCAGTTTGGGCTCAGCAGCACCTCCGCATCCTACGGGACCGACATCATCCCCATCTGAACCTGCCTTCCATGGCCCCCACTCCGGCACCTCTCAGATTTGGTTCTCACATTCACATGAAGGTAAGGAGAGTTGGTGGAGGCACTTGGGTGCGGCGGCATAGTTTCTAAATAAGGATGTTTCTTAGAAGTGTCCTTTAATAGGCAGATGGGTAGAGTATGGAAGTGCGAGATCTTCAGATACCTGATATTGCAGATATATCCACGTCACTGGCACAGTCTAAAAATTGTCAAATCCACTATTTCCCCCCTAATATTCTGTACAGGTAGAATAATAGAAGACATATAGCCCCAATCTGCAGTGGCAGAGGAGATCTCATTAATTTGCCCATACAAGTATAGTTCCCCATTGTTCTACAGTTTTCTTAGAAAAAAAGGACTGTGCAGACAGGAGAATTCAAGTGTAAGAATTCTCAGTTGCTTGGCGTTCTGGCTGTTGTTAGATAGCAAGAAGAAGATACAATGGGATGCAGGAAGGCTGTGGATTGAAGTAGAAATAAAAGTGATTTGACAAATGAGCACCCTGAGGCATTTTGATATGGTAGATGGTTAGGAGACCCTCTGATTTTTGGAGTCCCTTTTTTCCATCCCCAGCCCCCCTGACCACGTCACGCAGGAAACAGCTCCATTTAACTTCACACAGCCTAGAGTTAGAGCTGTTTTTTTCCTGATTTATGCTGGTTAGCACACTGCAGAGAGGGGAGGGGGTCGGTTGGCAAGGGAATCCAGGGAATTACCTGCAGTTTCTCCTTTTCTGTTTTGGCTTGAGGGACCCTGAAAGTATTTCAGAAAAGTTCTCTCTTCTCTTTCCTGTTTCTTAGAGGACCCTTGGGCCAAGTGTTTGGACTTGGAGAATGAATGTGCAGCAGGTCTGGTCTATGCAATAGATAGATGGATGCCTTGTCCCCCAGTCCCCATGCTGTTGCTAGCCCTCACTCCCCCCCTCCCCTTGGACCTTCCTGTGGTTGTTCTGGGCCTGAACTCCCTTTCCACAGTTCAGCCAATGTTCTTCAGGCTGTCTCCAAATGCAGTTACACTGTCACATCACTCGCTGCCTTTCAGTGGAACTTACAAAGTTCTCTCCGTATGCTTTAGCCTCAATCCTAAGATCGCCTGCCTCGCTCCCTCCCCACTCTTATCCTTTGGGCTCCCAAGCCACTGCTCTTCCTAATCGCCCCAATCCCACTCCAATCCCCCCCCCCCGGTCCCACCTTTCCCGCTGTGCTGAGCTGGTGGCCACAAACTACTTTTAGTTTCTTTAATGCACTTGTGCTTTCTCTCCCCTGCAGCGGCGGCCTCTTGTCGTGCCCTTCCCCCAGCGTTTTTTCCTTCTTGCAAGATGCAGAAAGTTAAAGTGTGAGCGGCAAGGTGCTGCTGGCACCGTGCCCTGGCAGCCAGCCCGACTGCTAGCTTGAACGGCTGCCAGCTAGCTTCCGGCATGTCGGGTCTGTTGGGGGCGGGGTGCAGGCAATGCTGTCTGCGTGATGCTGACGGGCAGCCGGTCTAACTGGGGTGCAGCAGCAGAGCTGCTAGCTATGGGGAGCAGCCTGCTTGTTGGGGAGATCAGTCTGGCAGGCCAGGGGCAGGGAAGGCTGCCTTCCATCCTGCTGTGAAGGAACCATTGAAAAAGAGGATTCCACAGGATAGTTTGGGAAGAACTTCTAGGAGGGAAGGAAGGAAGGACATACATACTTGGCTTGATGTTACTATCCTCATGGCCATTGTTTGGCCTTTAGCCTGGGAAGCTCTGAGTCATGGTGGGGGCGGGGGGGGAGCTGTTCCTCTGGGTTCAGCTACAGGATAATAGCTCTGAGAGGATGAGGATCTTGCTCACTTTCTGATTGCTCATCCATGCAATTCACCTTTTTTGTGTTGAGGATGTAGGTGAATGTACACGCCTATGCGAG